TGGGACTGGCATTTTTTCAGCTGGGTTTGTCTTCCTGTTTACACAGCACCTCACCTAGAGCTGGGGTTGCAAGCAGAGATGTCTGGCTTGTTAGCTGGGTGCTGGGATCTAAAGTCCAGTCCACAGGATTGTATAGCAAGTGCTCTTAACTGTTGAGCATCATTTCAACCCCACAGTTAATTAAATTTTTTTTTTACATTTTTATCTGTATATGCATGTGTATGTATATGTGTGCATCCATGCATGCCATCACACCCATGTGGAGGTCAGATGACAACTTGTACATCTCTCTTGCCACCACATGGGTCCACACTCAGGTTGTCAGGCTTTGAGTAGCACCTTTACCTGCTGACCCATCTCAATGGCCATCCCTTTTTTTTTTAAACCTTTTAAAATTGTGGGAAAGTACACAGAACATTAAGTTTACTATTTTATTTTATTAATATTTTATTATTTTTATGTGTATGAGTGTATTGCATGCATGTATGTGAGTGCAACCGTGTCGTGAGATGCCACAGAGGTAAGAAGAGGGCTTCAGATTCCCCTGGAACTGGAGTTAAGGATGGTTTGTAGCTGCCATGTGGGTGCTGGGAATCGAACCCGGGTCCTGTGCAAGAGCAGTCAGTGCCCTTAACCCCTGAGCCTTCTCTTCAGCCCCTAAGTTTACTATTTTAATTACTTTAAGTGTGTAGTTCATTAGAAGAGATTGTAGTCAGGGTCTCTGGACCATGGGGAGTATGCAGCAGAACCTTGGGAGTCTGAGTACAAAGCGGAATAACATGATGGGTGCATTCTGCAGGTAGGGCTGAAACTGAGTTGTAACAAAAGACACAGGTCTTTGTACTGCAAATATTCCCAGTGTTACAAGGCATGAATCTGAGTGGGAGGGATCAGGGGTGGAGGACACCCATTGGAGTTTCCTGGCTCTTATGTTCCAGGACAAAGAATGAGACCAGGGACACATGGTGAAAAACAGGAATAGAGACAGGTTATTAAGAAAGGGAAAGCAGGGGCCAGGTGTGGTGGCGCACGCCTTTAATCCCAGCACTCGGGAGGCAGAGGCAGGCAGATCTCTATGAGTTCAAGGCCAGCCTGGTCTACATAGTGAGTTCCAGGACAGCTGGGACTACAGGGAGACCCTGTCTCAAAAACACCAAAAAAATTTAAAAAATAAATAAATAAATAAAATAAACAAATAGTAGCCAGGCGTGGTGGCATATGCCTTTAATCCCAGCACTCAGGAGGCAGAGGCAGGTGGATCTCTGTGAGTTCAAGGCCAGCCTGGTCTACATAGTAAGTTCCAGGACAGCTGGGGCTACAGCAAAACCTGGTCTCAAAACAAAAAGAAAGAAAGGGAAAGATTTGGGGCTCAGCCGTTAAGAGCACTGGCTGCTCTTGCAGAGGTCCTGGATTCATCCGGACCCCACGTGACAGCTAATAGCTGTCCATAACTCCAGTTCCAGGGAATCCTACACCCTCTTCTGACCTCTGTGGTCACTGCATGACATGGGTGCACTTACATACATGAAGGCAAGGCAATATGCTCATATACTCATATACATAAAATGAAAATTTAAAAAAATGAAAGAAAAGGACTTTATGTTATTTTTATAATGGCTAATCATATACAATTATTACATAAACTATAATTTCAAAGATATGACCAAGGAAGCTCACATAGCAATTTTTAATAACATTTAGTGGGCTGGAGAGATGGCTCAGCGGTTAAGAACACTGGCTGTTCTTGCAGAAGACCCAGGTTCAAATCCCAACACCCACATGGCAGCTAACAATTGTCTGTAACTCCAGTTCCAGGGGACCCGACAGCCTCTTCTGTCCTCCTTGGGCATTACATGACATGGGTGCACTTACCTACATGCAGGCAATACACGCATACACACACAAAAAAAAAAATTTAAAAAAAAACCATTTAGACGTTTGCTCACAAATCAGTCTCTCCTATTGTTATAAAATGTAAGCTTTGTCAACTAAAAAGTGCTTTGTAGTGTGTACAAAGATTAGTTAAAGGAAAAATTATGAGAGGATAAAGCTTGTATTTTAGAGTCAGAAGAACAGATGGTGTATATGTTAAAGAAGGCTTAAGCCGGATTGAGGTCACTGCTGGGATAGTAGGGAAAGGAAGGCAAAGAACTGCTGAAGAAAAACTTATAGCATAAAGGGAAAAAAAAATGGCTGGGGTCATACACTACTTGATACACTCACAGAAGGACTGAGTTCCATCCCCCAGATCTCATGTAAAGCCAGGTGTTGTAGCACTTGACTACAGCATGGGGAGGGGGTGTTGACAGGAGAACCCTGGGCCTCAAGGGCCAGCCAGTTTAGTCAAATGGGTGAGCTCCAGGTTCAGTAAGAAACCATGTCTTAATAATAACAATAATAAAATAATAATAATAATATGCAGAGCGATTGAGGAAAATACCTCATGTCCACCTCTGGCCTTTGCACACATGAACACAGACATACACACGCACACATACACAAAAACAAGAAAGAGGAAGAGGGGAAGAAACTGAGAGGGACTGGTGGGCAAGGTGGCTCAGTGTTTGCTACAAAGTCTGACACACTGACTTTCATTCCTAGAACTCACATGGTGAAAGGACAGAACTGACTCCCCAGGTTGTCCTCTGACTTCCATACAAGTGCTGTGGCACACGCACACACACACTTAACACATGCACACACAGACATGCACGCATGTGCACACACACATACAAAAATATAGAAAAATCCAAACCTATAAACATCTTAAGGCCATAGATAGACTGATTTTTTTTTTTTTTTCGGTCTTTTTGAAGCAGGGTCTCCCTGTAGCCCCAGCTGTCCTGGAACTCACTATGTAGACCAGGCTGGCCTCGAACTCACAGAGATCTGCCTGCCTCTGCCTCCCGAGTGCTGGGACTACAGGTGTGTGCCACCACGCCCGGCCGGAGACTGATTTTTTTAATTTTTATTCGATGTGTATGAGTGTATTGCCTGCATGTACGTAAGTGCATCTGTGTCATACAGTGCCCAAGGAGGACAGAAGAGGATGTAGAATCCCCTAGAACTGGAGTTATGGATGGTTGTTAGCATCCTTAAGGGTGCTGGGATTTGGGATTTGAACCTGAGGCTTCTGCAAGAACAGCCAGTGCTTTTAACCACTGAGCCATCAGAGCCCCCATCCCCCAGGAGACTGATTTTTTAAAAAATTCTGTTGTAGCCAGGCTTGGTGGAGCACGCCTTTAATCTCAGCACTCGGGAGGCAGAGGCAGGCGGATCTCTGTGAGTTCAAAGCCAGCCTGATCTACATAGTGAGTTCCAGGACAGCTGGAGCACTTGCAGGATGGTTTTGTTCTGATATCTTGTTCAAAATAGATGATTTGGGCTAGGCATGGTGGCGCATGCCTGTAGTCCCAGCACTTGGGAGGCAGAGGCAGGCGGATCTCTGTGAGTTCAAGCCAGCCTTGAGAGAGTTCCAGGACAGCTGGGGCTACAGGGGAGACTCTGCTTCAAAAAAACAAAAACAAAAAAAAGACCAAAACAGATGATTTGGAACATATATTTGGAAAAGAGTACCAGAAACTTTAAAAGTCAAAAGAGGGGCTGGAGAGATGGCTCAGCAGTTAAGAACACTGAATCTTCTTGTAGAAGACCCAGGTTCGAATCCCAGCACCCACATGGCAGCTAACTGTTGGAACTCCAGTTCCAGGGGATCCGACAGCCTCTTCTGTCCTCCTCGGGCATTGCAGGACACAGGTGCACTTACCTACATGCAGGCAATACACCCATACACATAAAAAAATATTTTTTTAAAAAATCGAAAGAACAGGTGGGTGTTAAAAGTGGTTTACTAAGTTAGCAGGGGCTTACTGCTAAGCCTCACAACCTGAGTTCAATCCCTAGGACCCACATGATAGACTCCTGAAAGTTATCCACTTATCTTCACAAGGGCATACTTGTGTACATACATGCAAAATAAAATGCAATAATAATATTAATTGGTGGCACACACACATTCTAATCACATGCAAGCAGAGGCAGGAGTCAAGTTAAGGTCTGTCTCGGTATATATAGTGAATTCCAAACCAGGCAGGGATACATGGGGCCAAAGAAAAACCAAAAATAAAACAAAAACCCAAAACACTATTAGGACTTCAGTTCCTGTGCTTCTTGTTTCGGGTTTTAAATAAGTTTGAGGGCTTGGAAAGATGGTTCAGCAGTTACCACTTAACCTGCGTGGCTCACAATCACCTGTAACTTCAGGTCCAGGAAATGCATACTCCCTTCCCAACGCCTTGGGTATCTGCACCCACATGTGTAGATATCCACACCCAGACACTCACATGTACACATAATGTACCACAGCTACAAATTTCTCTATAAAACTTAAAAAATTGGGAGCTGGAGAGATGGCTCAGCAGTTAGAGCACTTACTGATCTTGTAGAGGACCCAGGTTAGGTTCTCAGCACCCACATGGCCACTAACAACAGGATTTAACTAGTTCCAGCAGCCAGAAACCCTTTTCCCGGCCCTGCACATCAGCTGTGCATGTAAACTCACGCACAAATATATAAGTAAAATCATTCTTTTTGTTTGTATTGTTTTTGAGACAGGGTCTCACTATGCAGCCCCAGATGACCTCTCACTATGTAGACCACCCCAGGCTGGCCTCTCTCACAGTGATCCACCTGGGTAAACCTTAAATTCCAAATGTTTAAAAATTCGGGGGTAAAAATCCCTTTTTGAGGGGAGCTGCATACACATTGGTGCACGTGATTCCTACAATGGCGAGGGACTTGCACGACTAAGTGGCAGGGATTTCAGCGAGAGGAAACCAGGAGCGGGCGGGCGGTGGCGTGCAGACCGTGACACAGTGGGGACAGGGGATAGGTGTCTTGCTCCGGGTTGGCATTTACTGCTTAGCCGAAAAACCCACGTCCTTCAGTTGAGAGTCTAGAAAGGAGCAAGGACCTGACTTTGGGGCACTGCGGGGCTTTTCATGGCCGGAGGAAAGCCTTCCTCCCAGCCAGCACCGCCCAGGCTTTCAGGAGGCGCTTTTCTTTTCCTAGGCCCCGGGGCTCGGGCAGGCCCTTTGCACTCGCTACCAGACTCCACCCAGACTTTCCCGCCCCCGCGCCTTGGAAATTCCGATATCTGGCTAGACCTGCTTCGGCCAGGAACTCTAAAACGTACTGATAGGACGACTCGGCCGCCAGTCAGACCCGCCAAATACCCGGATGTGAATCTGTGCGCCATACAAAGGCGAAATTTCCACCCGGCTCTTCGTCTGGTGCAGTGGCCAATAACCATCCGTCAGACGTTGAATGACAAGAAAGTAACCAATTACTAACGCTCTTCTTTCACGCATGTGGAAATTCTCCCCATTAGTCCAGCCCATTTCTGACTGTGATTGGACAGCATGGTGAAGAGCGGCAGCGTTGTCTAGTGAGGGACGGGAGCGAGAAAAGGCACAGCCAATAGGAACGTTCCCGGGAGCGGGGCGGGACCTGGGCCTTCGCCTCGGCGGCAGAGAAGGCTCGGGGGCCATTTTGTGAAGACGCGGAGTCGGAACGGACGTGGTCTCTGCCTCCTGCAGTTTCGGCATTTCTGCGTAGACCCCGGGAGAAGGAGCCGTCCCTGTCGTCTCCTCTCTTGGTAAGCGCAGGGCAGGTGCGGGAGAGGCGCTGGGTTCCCGGCTCCCCGAGGGGCTGCGGGAGAGAAAGCGGGGCTCCGGCCTCGCGGGGGCCACGCCGCGCTTTGCGCGGTAGGGATTGGGTCGGAGGCGCGGGATCAGGGCCTCGCTTCGCGTAGGTTCCTCCTGGTGACCTGCAGGCCGCCATCGCCACGGAAGACCCCTCTTCAGGGACCAACGGCCGGGTTCTTTCATCTCTGACCATCGGGACGCCCCCGTGGGGAGTATGGAAGCGAAGAACGAAGGGCTTGATAATACAATCGACGCTAATGTATCATTGATTATTACCTCTGAAGTTGAGAACTGGCCGGGGGTTGAGGGGAGGGCTGCCGAGTCGAAGCACAGGAAGCGTGTGCGTTTCGGAGCGGGCCACATGGCATCAGAGCCGTATATAACAATGGATTTTCTTACTAACTTCTTTACCCCTCCAGTGGAAGTCGAAGTGCTCATTGCTGTTTGTAAATGGAAATATTGCAGCTTAATTATTATAGCTTTTCATCTGCAGGTTTCAAATCATTTGAAATATATGTTAGTAGGACTTTGCTTGAGGTAGGTATTAATCTTTCTCAGACCGAAACTCGAGACGTAATAATGTTCGTTGCCAGGATCGTATTAAATTAGTTAGCGGAACTACTAAGGAATTTGGCCTTGGTAGGTCAAGTATTTTTATCGAGTTACTGCACTACTGTGAGTTAAAACGACAATGGAATCTTTAGGGGAACCTAATTACAGAAACTTAAGGTAATTCCAAAATGGACCTGGGAACAGTGAATAATTAGAAGATAGTAAAGTTGTCGAGCGTGGTGGCGCAGGCCTGTAGTCCCAGCGCTCAGGAGGCAGAAGCAGGCGGATATCTGAGTTCAAGGCCAGCCTGGTCTCCATAGTGAGTTCCAGAACAGCTGGGGATTCAGGGAGACTGTCTCAAAAAGACCAAAAAAAAAAAAAAAGTAGTAATGTAACTTCTTGACATGACAATCGTAGTATCTTTTCAGAGTATTCTGGCATTCCATCCCTAAAACTAAGTAGGTGTAGGCCTGCAAGTTAATCCCTGCGCTCACTCTGGCTCTGAAATGGGGAAAGGATGGGTGTGGTGGCTCATGCCTTTAATTTACCAACACAGAGGCAGAGGCAGGCAGACCTCAGTGTGAGTCTAGCCTGATCTATAATAGTTGCATTATAGCCAGGGCTACACAGTGAAACCTGGACTCAAAAAAAAAAAAGGTGCATGAAAAATTCCCTGGACTTGATTCTATTTTTTTTTTTTTTTTTTTTTTTTTTTTTTTTTTTTTTGAGACAGTCTCTCCTTGTAGACCCAGCTGTCCTGGAGCTCACTATGTAGACCAGGCTGGTCTTGAACCCACAGAGAACCACCAGTCTCTGCCTCCCAAGTGCTGAGTGCTGTGATTAAAGGCTTGTACCATCAAGCCCTGCCTTGGACTTTTTTTTGAGACAGGTCTCCCTGTATCCCCAGCTGTTCTGGAACTTGCTATGTAGACCTGGCTGGCCTGGAACTCACATCTGCCTGCCTCTGCCTCCCAAGTGCTGGGATGAAAGGCATGGGCCACCACGCCTGGCTGGACTTATTTCTTAACACTGAAGTAAAACCTAAAAAAATTTAAAACTCAATGTTTACGATTAGTTGGTTTTATTCACAAGAACTGATGAACTAAATTTAAACCCAGACTACACAAATTTAACCTCTAAACATTTGATAGCCAGATGTGATTGCCCATTCCTGTAATCCCAGCACCTGAGAGATGGAGGCAGGCCACTCTTGAGTATTCCAGACCAGACCATTCAGGCCTCAAAAAATTAGTCACTGCTTTTAGCAGTGGCATTAAAAACTGTGTGCTGGATGTAGCAATGGCTCAGCGGCAGCTAACAACTGTCCATAACTCCAGTTCCAGGGGATCCGACAGCCTCTTTTGTCCTCTATCGGCATTGCACACGGGTGCACTTATCTACATGCTGGCAATACACACATACATACAAAATGAAAATAAGCCAGGCGTGGTGACTCATGCCTTTAATCCCAGCACTCGCGAGGCAGAGGCAGGATCTCTGAGTTCAAGGCCAGCTTGGTCTACATAGTGAGTTCTAGGGACAGCTGGGGGCTACAGGGTACCCTGTCTCAAAAAGACCAAAATAAATATTTTTAAAACCTGTATACCTACCACTTTTCAAGTAAATAATGGTTTTTATGTACTGGATTTCCTAGAGAATGCTGGTGAAAACTAGAACTTTTCAGAAGTGGGAAAATTACAGATGGCTTTGTTAGAATCTGGAAACTAACAAAGACTGGGTGGGCATTTTGTTAAATTTCATAGGTCTCCAACATAAGCTGACAAGCTAGGAGAATCAGCGCGGGTTCTTCTGTTTAAAATTGGGGCTTGACTAGGCCACTAGTGAAAACATGGCTGGGTCCTGCTGGGCATGGTTGCCAGTGCCTTAATCCCAGCACTTGGGAGGCAGAGGCAGACCCATCTCTGAGATTGTCTTATACATGCTGAGTTTCAGGCCAGCTGTGACTGGGTCTCAAAAAGACCAGAGAAAAATTGCTGGATCTTTCTACCATCAGTTTCTAACTAAAAACTAGGCCCCTAGAATTTTTTTTCCAAATCTATAATGGGTACAGCTTTGTCTAATGGCCTTTGTAGGAAGGTCATGTTAGGATTTGGAAGGAACCATGCCACTGTTTCCATTTTTCCGTTTAGGTTAGTCTGGTTTTCCGGTTGCCATCAGGAGTCACCATTCTTTGTACACATAAGCATATCACTTGAGTAGAATTCAGATTCATCTTGGGTATAAGCATCTTCAATTTGAAGAGCCAGCAAGGGACTGAAGAGATGGCTTGGAAGTTAAGAGCATTTACTGCTCTTTTGGAGGTTCAGCTCCCAGCACCCACATGATGGCTAACACTTAATCCATAATTCTAGTTCCAGGGATTTGAACTCTCTCTTGGCCTCTACAGGCATTGCATGAACATTGTACACTAACATGCAGGCAAGACATTCATACACACAGTGAACTTCCTCCAGTGCTTTCTAGAGAATTTGTCTTTTAGACGTCCTATTTCCAACAGACCTCCAAAGGCACCAAGATGGTGGAAAGCTAGAAATTTGGGGGTTCTTTTATTTTTGAGACAGGGTCTCCTTGTAGCCCCACCTGGCCTGGAACTCACTGTGTAGACCAGGCTGACCTTGAACTCTGAGATCCACCTGCCTCTGCCAAGAATTTGCATTTTTAAGTGTCAGGTGGTAACTTGTTCCTGGTTAGCATGACTCATTTTGAGAGTATCAGGTGCCTGCATGTATGTATACATCCGTGTTCATGCCTGGTGCCTGTAAAAGAAGGCTGGGGTGAATCCCCTGGAACTGCAGCCACCATGTGGATACTGGGAACTGAACCCAGGTCGTCTACAATAGCAGCTGAACCATCTTTCCAGACCCTAGAAAATCAATACAAATACTCAGTACAAATTAATTGAAAAACACTTGGCTTTTTATAAAATGGTAGTAGCTCATTAGTATCTTGGGTGAGCTATCTTGATAGTGAAAGAGGTAAATGCTTTGCTGCCTTTTTTTTTTTTTTGGTCTTTTTGAGATGGGGTCTCCTGTAGCCCCAGCTGTCTTGGAAATCACTATGTAGACCAGGCTGGCCTTGAACTCAGAGATCTGCCTGCCTCTGCCTCCCCAGTCAGTGCTGGGATTAAAGGCATTTGCCAGGCCCACGCCCAGCTAAGGATTTTTTTTTTTTGATGAGATTTGCGATTAACATTCTGAAGAATTGTTAACCAGGTTCAGAGAGTACCAAATAATAGTTTTCATTGTCATTACATATAAATACAGACTCAATTTTTGGCTTTTCTACAAATTTTTCTCTTGGTATAAGTGGGAAAGTAAATGCCATTCTTGTTTACTTAAAGTTTGTATTTAAAATCTTAAGAGTTACAGTACTTATTCTGTTGTCTTTTTCATAAGGATTTGGCTTGATGAATACTTTGAAGTTTTAAGTGAACTGAAATTTGTATGGGAGAATAAGACCTCATGTCTGAGCTTTGAAATGTTGGTGCAACCAATTCATGCTCATTTGCACAGTGATTTATTCTGGCTGCAGTTCTTGTTTTAGCTGATAAAACGACCAGTTTGTGTCATTGTACATTATTAAGTTTTATTGTCAGATTCTTCATACATAAACCTTGGGATTCGTTGAGAAAAAAATGAAGCACAGAAATATAAATTCCACAAGTGCACAGTTTTATCACCTGTCTTAATCACATAAGATATTCAGGAATCATTTCCCCCCCACTCCATCTGTGGTTTTTTCCGCTGTCAGTGAATAAAACAGGCTGGCTCCTTTTTCAAAAACATCTTTCACCCAACTGTAGACTCTTTAAGTGTTAATGGTTTGTTCACCCTTTAGTTCTGAGAATAATTGAGTGACTTAAATGTACGTCTTCATGGTAGGCCATTCACCTTTAGTCCTATTACTCACAGGGATATCTACATTGCCCTTAGGTTAAAACCCATAAATCTGTTTGGCCTTTACTCACTTCATCTCCATTTGTGGCCTGGTTCTCTGTATTTTTCTTGCCCAAACTGCTGATTACAAAGAACACTCATAAATTCTGTTGGTTCCCCTTAAGAGGGGATACAGACTTGAATTTAGCTAACTTGAAGCCACATTGATGTTAAGTTGTAAAAACAGTCACTAGTAGAAGTGATGATGGTGCTCTAAAGGCTATCTCCATCCCAGTGAAATGTTATACTTCACCAAAATGTGTTACATGCAGCAGACAGATGTTTCTGTCTCGGGGGTTTAGGGCACATTTTCTGAGGAACTATGACTCAATCTGTCCCTTCTCCTTTCACAGGGCAGCAAGGCGAACCCCATCCTTACTCACTGGAGCTCAGCTTTGATTTTTTTAAACTTCCCTTCCCCACCCTTCCAGAACACACACATTCCCATTCCAAATTTGATTTTATAAAGACATTTTAAACATAATGATGCAACTTGGTGTGCACTACAGCAAATGTACAGGTGTTTTTTTTTTTTTAATTCCAAAAGGCGACCTGGATTTAAGATGTAATTTTTAAAATTTCTATTTCTATTTTTTCTGCAGCAGTTGGGTTAGAGGAGGAGCCTTTTAGCCTCATAAACTGACCTCTTTACTTCCTCGTGTATTTTTAAGATTAATTGATGATGTGGAAAGGGCTTTGCTTGTCTGCTATTGAGAACATTACCCTTGCGGTTTTTGTGGAAACTGCTTTTGGAAAAGAAAAAGAAATGAACTTTATTGACTGACATTTTTGCACCTCCCGTTTTTCTAATCTGGGCTATTTTTATTTTTGTTTTTTTACAGTGAGATTTTTTTGATCTTCAGCTACAGTAAGTTATTTTTTTTTTACATTTTTCCTGACTTTCGCTGATTTCCTTTTTATTGTTGTTCCTTACTAGTTATTTATTATTACTATACTTATAATGGTGGTGATGATGATGATGATGATGATTTTTAACCGGATTAAAATGGAGTTTTTCTGAATGTTAAGAATTTCTTCGGCCTCCTGATTGACTTTGGAGTTTTACATCTTGGGAGAGAAAGTGAAGGTGTTAGCATTTTTAAGTAGATGATCACATAAACCTTTTCTCTCCCAACCCCACCCTTGCCCTCAACCCCTTCCCCACACTGGAAATAATTTTACTGGCTGTTAAGTCTTTGACCTTATTTTTCCTGATCTTTAACTTAACTGTTTTAGAGCATCTCTGGACGTCTGTATTTTTAATTTTTTTATTTTTGTTTTTTTATTTTTAATCTTTGATTTGTTAAATTTTTAAGCTGTGCTGCAATAAAATGTGTGTGGTACTATTTAACACCTATAATGGTGATGGCGATTTCCCAGAAAGCCATCTTCCTCCTGTTTCCCTTGAATTCCCTTCCTGCTTTTCCTGTACACTACCCCCCACAAACCACAAGCCGCAGCAACATGGATGCCCAGCCTGGAGCAGCATCAGCCAGGATGACCTGGAGCCGGGGGGGCCTTCGGAACACCCTTCCTGGGTGATGGTAAGAGGTGTGAGGTTTCCTTGAAAAGACTAGGAAATAGATGAAGATTTGGTGATGTATAGGTCAGAGATTCTGGAAGAAGTCTATCAGTTGAGCCTCTGTGTTTGTACCTTGAGGCAGCTTCATTAAACTAATTTGTAAATTAATGGAATAATTTTCTAATTTAGGTGTATCAGAAGTTTTTTGATTGAAAAAGATTTAAATGTACTCTAGAAAAACTTGTTTTAATAATTAGCAGCAAACAAGGCAAGGACCTATTTAGATTTTACATAGTTCTCTTTATATAGCCGATAAGTCTTTGGGCCTGTCTGGGGATGTAGCTCAGTGAGTGGGTTTAGTCCCCAGCTCCCCAAAATCTTGACTTTGTGGCAGTCATGCCTATAATTCAAGCTGGAGTATCAGAAGTTCAGGGTCAACCTTAGGTTACATAAAGAGTTTGAGGCCAGCGTGGGCTATATGAGACTCTGCTTCAAAAATAGCAAAAGTAATCTTTGGCAGTTGTTGATTGCATATAACATGAGTCAAGACCTGAATGGTCAAGACTCTACACTCAGGAAGGTGAGACAGAGTCTTTGTTGTGTTCCAGGCTAGCCTAAATTACTGGTGATACTCTTTAAAAACTAAAGCTCCCCCCCAGGAATCCAACCACTGGAGAAGATAGTAATAGCCATGGTATTAAAATGCTTTATCATGTTGGGCATGGTGGCTGATGGCTTTAATCTCAGACAGAGGCAGGTGGATCTCTGAGTTGGAGGCTAGCCTGGTCTACATAGCAAGTTCCAAGCCATCTGGGACTACAGGACCGAGTCTCAAAAAATGGTATATCACAAAGGTTTTTAAGAATTTGAAGAAGCTGGGTTTGGTGGCTCATGCATTTGATCCTAGCACTCCAGAGGCAGATGGAGGTGGATCTCTGAATGTACCAACTTGGTCTACATATACATAGCAAGTTTTAGGCCAGCCAGGGCTACATAGTGAGACTCTGTCTTTAAAAAGGAAAAAAGAATGCACGCCTTTAATCCCAGCACTTGGGAGGCAGAGGCAGGCAGAGCTCTCTGAGTTCAAGGCCAGCCTGGTCTACATAGTGAGTTCCAGGACAGCTGGGGCCACAGGGAGACCCTGTCTCAAAGACAAGAAAAAACCAAAAAAGAATTTGTAAGTAAGCAGGCTTTTTTACAGCTTAACAATAGGAAGATCTGCTTAATTACTACATCCTCATCAAGGATTGTTTAGCAGTGTTTTGAGGCCAAGTTAGCTATTCAGATTTTCTTGAGGGTGGTGGAAAGCAATGAATCTCGAGTAATGGAGAGATAATTGAGGATGTAGATATATATACTATTTTGATAAGCACTTAGAGTTGCTCTTAATTTCAACTTGAAAATAAGTAAATTGTTGAAAGGCACAGTCAGTGTTGTGGCACTGCCTAGGGGAGATTTTATATGCTCATTCTAGGTCAAATGAACTTCAGAGGTGTTTGGAAAGGAGTGAAAAACTTTCTTTGGTCTTTTTGAGACAGGGTCTCCCTGTAGCTTGTAGCCCCAGCTGGCCTGGAACTCATTATGTAGACCAGGCTGGCCTTAAACTTGTAGAGATCTGCCTGCTTCTGCCTCCCAAGTGCTGGGACAAAAGGTGTGTGCCACCATGCCCGGCAAATTTTTTTTTTTTTAATTTTGCCTGCAGGTAGGTAAGTATGCCCTTGTGGTGCAATGACAGCCTCAGAAGAGGCTGTCAGATCCCCTGGGACTCCCATGTGAGTGCTGGGATTCGAACCCCGGTCTTCTGTAAGAACAGTCAGTGTTCTTAACCACTGAGACATCTCTCCAGCCCGTGAAACCTCTTTAAATAGTTTTAAATATTGTTGCCTTATGAAAGGTAATTTCTACTGTTTTCTCTGTGGAAACTGTTGTTTACCAGTTCAGTTTGATGCCCTTGCTCTCCAAGTTCATTATTTAAGGGTATGCTTTTCTGGTTTGGAGGAGGGTATCAGCAATCTCAATCCGTCCAAAGAAAGATCCTCAGCCTCCTTTGGGAGAGAGATGATAGAATGGCACCATATGGTAGATGAACAGTTCTATGAATGCAGACATGGATATTGATCTAGATTTGGAGGTTTGGGAGTGCTTTTTGTTTTGTTTTCAAGACAGGGTCTCCCTGTAGTCCCAGAAGGTATGGAACTGGCTATGTAGACCAGGCAGGCCACATCCACCTGTCTTTCTATCGGAACACTGGGATTAAAGACTTACTCCAGCACAGCACATGAAAGGAACTGCTTATAAGAGGAAGTGAATTGAATCTTACAATAAGGTAGGGTGATAAAAATGTGAACACTGTTCTTGCAGAAGACCCGGATTCGAATCCCAGCACCCACATGGCAGCTAACAACTGTCGGTAACTCCGGTTCCAGGGGAATCCGGGGTGCACTTAACCTACATGCAGGCAATATATGCATACACATTACAATGTGAGCCATTGGAAGGTAAACGAGCATTCAGGTTTCAATTATTAGAAATACTATTAAAGCTATATGGACATTAAAGGAAAATGACCCTGTACGAAGAATTTACAGGCTAAGGAAGAGTGAATGACTTGGCTGGGAAAATGTAGTACCAGTGGGAGTAGACAGTAGGGAATGGATAGTGTACTGTAAAAAGGGGTTGAATTTGGTGTGATGTGTTGAATGGAACTTAGGAGAATATAACAAAGGGGGGGGGAACATTAGGGTTAAAGTAGTGAGGATGGGGGCTGGAGAGATGGCTCAGCAGTTAAAAGCACTGGTGGTTCTTGCAGAAGACCGGGTTCGAATCCCAGTACCCACACAGCAGCTAACAGCTGTCTGTAACTCAAGTCCCAGGGGATCCGACAGCCTTCTGACCTCCGTGGGCATTGCACAACATGGGTGCACTTACATACATGCAGGCAGTACGCTCATACACATAAAATAAAAATAATAAAATTTTTAAAAAATCGTGAGGATGTACTGTTTCAGGGTACTTAAACATTTGGTTGCAACATTTGGTTGGCTTAGGCATGTAGGGATAAAAGAAGTAGGTATTGTCTGTCTCTTGGAGGTATAAAGAGGATGTTTCCATAGAGGAAAAAATAGTATTCCATGCTAGATGAGATGGTAAAGAAATGAGAGTTAAAATAATGAAGGTGGGGGAGGATGCTCACAGGGAAGCTAACACCTGAAATGTAAAAGCACAGTTACTGGGGAAAATGCAGATTTATAGCAGGAAATAATGAAAAACAATTGCCGAAAGAGAGGGAGGGACCAAGTACACATGTGTAGGGCCGTGTTTGAGATGTCTTTTTGCCTGTTGAGACAGGGTCTCCCTATAGCCCCAGCTGGCCTGGAACTCGGCTGTATAGACCAGGCTGGCCTTAAACACAAAAGAGATAGATCCACCTGCCTCTGCCTCCCCAGTGGGATTAAAGGCATGCACTCCTGTCATGCAAGGTGCACAGAGGTCAGAGGGCATCAGACCCCCTGGATCTGAGTTAGGGACAGTGGTTAACAGCCATGTGAATGCTCTGCTCATACTTGCTGTGCCTTTTTTCCGGTTCCAGATTTCAATTCCTTTTTTATTTAATAAATATTTTTTATGTGTATGGATGTATTGCCTGCATGTAGGTAAGTGAATCACGTTGTGCAGTGCCCATGAAGGACAGAAGAGATTGTTGGTCTGATCCCCCTGGAATTGGGGTTAAGGACAGTTGTTAGCTGCTGGGTGGGTGCTGGGATTCGAACCTGGGTCTTCTGTAAAGAATTGCTAGTGTTCTTAACCGCAGAGCCCTCTCTAGTCCCAGATTTCAATTTTTTAAAAAAATTTTTATTTTACATGTATGAGTGTATTGCCTGCATGTATGTGAGTGCACCCGTGTCGTGCAGTGCCTCGGAGGTCACTGGAACTCCTGCAGGGTCCTCTGCAAGAGCAGTTTTCTGCAAGAGCAGTCGGTGCTCTTAACCCCTGAGCCATCTCTCCAGCCCTGTGATTTCAATTCTTAAGCCTTGTCTTAGACTGGATGGGATGCTTAGAAAAGCAAATTTGTGTGCTGCAGTTAAAAGTACTGAAAGAAAAAACAACAACCAAGACCAGTCATTGCTTTAGACATTTGCTTATTAATTGTGCATTGCCTGGTATATAACTAACCATGTTGGTATTCTTTATCTTATTATACACCATTTAAATGGCATGAAGGTATGTAAGGCAATAATATATTTAGGTAGATACAGCTTTGTGGATTGCTTAAAAATTTTTTTCTTTTGGATACAGTGTCTCCCTGCACCCATTGGCCTGGAATGCCATAGGTAGGCCATATTGGCCTCAGTCTCACAGATCTATCAGTCTTTCTCCTGAGTGCTGGCATTCTATGATTATAAATGATTAAAAAATGCTTTATTATTTTTGTCTTCTTGAGATAGGGTCTCCCTGCATCCCCAGCTGGCCTGGAATTCCCTGTGTAGACCAGGCTGGCTTTGAACTCAAGAGAGCTCCCCTTGCCTCTGCCTCCTGAGTATTGGGATTAAAGGCATGAGCTAACACACCCAGCTTGAAGCAAGCACTTTTTTTTTTTTTGAGACAGGGTCTCCTTGTAGTCTCAGCTGTCCTGGGACTCACTATGTAGACCAGGCTGGCCTTGAACTCACAAAGATCCACCTGCCTCTGCCTCCTAAGTGTTGGGATTAAAGACGTGTGCTACCACACCCGGCGGCATGCACTTTAAAAGTAAATCTTAGTTGGAAAGAATTAAAAATTCCTTCTTCAAAAAGATTAAAAGAACAAGAGGTCCATGTTGCTAAATCCAGACAGTAGTCTGTTTAGTGTTTTTTAAAAAAAGACTGATATATGTGCATAATCATGGGTGCCTGTGTGACTTTTATGTGCACCACAAATGTGTGCAGCTACCTGAGCCAGAGTGTGGCAAGTACTGGGAAATGAACTTGGGTCTTCTGCAAGAACAAGTGCTCTTAACCAGTGAGCCATCTTTCCAGCTGCCAGTGGTCTGCCAATCCTCATCTCATGTCATTTAAGCTCTTAGTA